CGACCGAAGGGAGGGCGCGCCTATGACCGGTTGAGATTTGTCGCCGCAGATTTAGGCCGCGTCCAGGAAATTGAACACACGTTGCCATGCTGGTAGCGCCGCGCAGAAGCCATTCCCCTACCGCTCCCCACCACCACGTCCCACACGTCCACAGGCCCACACGCTCGCAGAGAACGACGCGCACACGGCGCGCAACCCCCACGTAGCGCACCTCTCCGGAAGCCCGCGCCGTCAACGGCGTCCGCGCAATCTCGGAACACGGTGAGAAAACGCGGCTTCGGCGGGGGCGACGGAGGGCGGGCCACCGTAGCGGCGGTGCGCGCGGTGCGGCAAGAAGCAAGGCGGCGCGCCCACCTGAGCACACCTCCTTGTAGGACGGGTTTGGCGTGGAGCCTCCAGAGTAGCCGACCTGCGTGGAGAAGACTCCGCTCTGCGTCCACAGCATTCGCTCGGCACCCCAGAAGCAGCCCATGCCTGGGCACACGGGGGGGAACGCACCGGGATGAGGGGAACGCCGCATGTCTGGAGTGATGGATTTTTATTGTTATGATAATCATTATATTTATGCAACTGACAAATGACCCAGACGTACAGATCTTCCCAGGACAGCTGCCGTCTCAACAAGAGGACAATCCTGGGATAGGCGAGACAGGTGGCAACGCGAGACACAACGGCGGGCCAAGCTGGTACCCTTGCGGCAGCAGCGCCCCACGGTGGGCGAGGCTCACGGTAGCGTCACGGTGATTCGCGGTGAGGAGGCTCAGGGTGAGGAGGCTCAGGGTGAGGAGGCTCAGGGTGAGGAGGCTCAGGGTGAGGAGGCTCAGGGTGAGGAGGTCGGGTGAGGAGGCTCAGGGTGAGGAGGCTCAGGGTGAGGAGGCTCAGGGTGAGGAGGTCGGGTGAGGAGGCTCAGGGTGAGGAGGCTCAGGGTGAGGAGGCTCAGGGTGAGGAGGTCAGGGTGAGGAGGCCTCAGGGTGAGGAGGCTCAGGGTGAGGAGGCTCAGGGTGAGGAGGCTCAGGGTGAGGAGGCTCAGGGTGAGGAGGCTCAGGGTGAGGAGGCTCAGGGTGAGGAGGCTCAGGGTGAGGAGGCTCAGGGTGAGGAGGCTCAGGGTGAGGAGGCTCAGGGTGAGGAGGCTCAGGGTGAGGAGGCTCAGGGTGAGGAGGCTCAGGGTGAGGAGGCTCAGGGTGAGGAGGCTCAGGGTGAGGAGGCTCAGGGTGAGGAGGCTCAGGGTGAGGAGGCTCAGGGTGAGGAGGCTCAGGGTGAGGAGGCTCAGGGTGAGGAGGCTCAGGGTGAGGAGGCTCAGGGTGAGGAGGCTCTGGGTGAGGAGGCTCGGGTGAGGAGGCCGGGTGAGGAGGCTCAGGGTGAGGAGGCTCAGGGTGAGGAGGCTCAGGGTGAGGAGGCTCAGGGTGAGGAGGCTCAGGGTGAGGAGGCTCAGGGTGAGGAGGCTCAGGGTGAGGAGGCTCAGGGTGAGGAGGCTCAGGGTGAGGAGGCTCAGGGTGAGGAGGCTCAGGAGGAGGCTCAGGTGAGGAGGCTCAGGGTGAGGAGGCTCAGGGTGAGGAGGCTCAGGTGGTGGGAGGAGGCTCAGGGTGAGGAGGCTCAGGGTGAGGAGGTCGGGTGAGGAGGCTCAGGGTGAGGAGGCTCAGGGTGAGGAGGCTCAGGGTGGAGGAGGGCTCAGGGTGAGGAGGTCGGGTGAGGAGGCTCAGGGTGAGGAGGCTCAGGGTGAGGAGGTCGGGTGAGGAGGCTCAGGGGAGGAGGCTCAGGTGAGAGGCTCAGGGTGAGGAGGCTCAGGGTGAGGAGGCTCAGGGTGAGGAGGCTCAGGGTGAGGAGGCTCAGGGTGAGGAGGCTCAGGGTGAGGAGGCTCAGGGTGAGGAGGCTCAGGGTGAGGAGGCCAGGGTGAGGGTAGGGTGGAGGAGGCTCAGGGTGAGGAGGCTCAGGGTGAGGAGGCTCAGGGTGAGGAGGTCGGGTGAGAGGCTCAGGGTGAGGAGGCTCAGGGTGAGGAGGCTCAGGGTGAGGAGGGTCGGGTGAGGAGGCTCAGGTGAGGAGGCTCAGGGTGAGGAGGCTCAGGTGAGGAGGCTCAGGGTGAGGAGGTCGGGTGAGGAGGCTCAGGGGGTGAGGAGGCTCAGGGTGAGGAGGCTCAGGGTGAGGAGGTCGGGTGAGGAGGCTCAGGGGTGAGGAGGCTCAGGGTGAGGAGGTCAGGGTGAGGAGGCTCAGGGTGAGGAGGCTCAGGGTGAGGAGGCTCAGGGTGAGGAGGGCTCAGGGTGAGGAGGCTCAGGGGTGTAGGAGGCTCAGGGTGGGAGGCTCAGGGTGAGGAGGCTCAGGGTGAGGAGGCTCAGGATGAGGAGGCTCAGGGTGAGGAGGCTCAGGGTGAGGAGGCTCAGGGTGAGGAGGCTCAGGGTGAGGAGGCTCAGGGTGAGGAGGCTCAGGGTGAGGAGGCTCAGGGTGAGGAGGTCGGGTGAGGAGGCTCAGGGTGAGGAGACTCAGGGTGGAGGAGGCTCAGGGTGAGGAGGCTCAGGGTGAGGAGGCTCAGGGTGAGGAGGTCGGGTGAGGAGGCTCAGGGTGAGGAGACTCAGGGTGAGGAGGCTCAGGGTGAGGAGGCTCAGGGTGAGGAGGCTCAGGGTGAGGAGGCTCAGGGTGCGGAGGGCGGGTGAGGAGGCTCAGGGTGAGGAGGCTCAGGGTGAGGAGGCTCAGGGTGAGGAGGCTCAGGGTGAGGAGGCTCAGGGTGAGGAGGCTCAGGGTGAGGAGGCTCAGGGTGAGGAGGCTCAGGGTGAGGAGGCTCAGGGTGAGGAGGCTCAGGGTGAGGAGGCTCAGGGTGAGGAGGCGCAGGGTGAGGAGGCGCAGGGTGAGGAGGCGCAGGGTGAGGAGGCGCAGGGTGAGGAGGCTCAGGGTGAGGAGGCTCAGGGTGAGGAGGCTCAGGGTGAGGAGGCTCAGGGTGAGGAGGCTCAGGTGAGGAGGGTCAGGGTGAGCGCATGGTGAGCAGCGTGGGGAGGGGCTCGTGGCGAGGAGGGGAAGCGGAAGCGTCATGGCGGCGTCCGCCATGCGGCACGCCGCACTCACCAAACGTGGCGAGCTGCAGGCCCTCCGGGAACGGCTCCACCGCAGGATTTCCGTTCACCGCGTGCCTGGCTGCTCGTGGGACAGCAGGGAGACAAAAGACGGAGGGGTCAGTCGGGCGGTGCGCGCACGGAAGATGGATCGTGGCATGGCAGGACCGTCAAGTGACGCGATGGCACGGCCAGGTCCCTCCATCCTACGGCCGTAGAACATGGCTGACAACGAAGTTGATGATGATGTTCAAGCAGAAGTAGTTTAGGTTAAGGTGCAAAATTCACCCGGCCATCCATCCAATATCAGAAGCGACCCAGGGGTGTGTGGAACGTGTATCCTATTAGCCACAATTAATACAGAAAGGTGTCACACCAGATGTGGTCTCACGCAAGTGCTGCGTTCATCCTGTTGCCCGGTCCTTGAACGGATCAGAAGAGTCACTCGAAAGTGGCACTGAATTCCTCTTATTATCCACGTGTATCAGGAATAACATGGTTTTACGAACATGCATGATGTATTGAAACACATATACATCACACGTATATTTTCACAGCCAATATGTGTCGAGTCCCAGCACCATCCACCACGTGTACAAGAAAGAGGTCAACGCACCAAGGATGAGAATTTCCAGAATTCTCACTTGCTGTATTTTAATACTGACTTGGTGGACCTTGTCGTGAAGATGTCCGAGCAGAAACGTCGCAATCCAACTGATAGATTTGGTTGTGGAAGACTCGCTCCGGAGACGTTATTATTATCGCTATTGGGCTCCTCCGAGTGAGCGGTCCAAATGCTCTCGCCGAGCCGAGCCACGGTGTCGCGTGTGTTCGCGTGTTTGCACACGCGTGTGCTCGCGTGTGCACACGTGTGCACGCGTGTGGCCGCGTGTGGCCGCGCACAATCATCGACGCTAGACGCAGCCACCGTAGCCGGTAGTCGGCACGTCCCGCGATCGCACCGCAGCGCCGAGCGCGCCGGGCGTCGCGGAGGGCGGCACGCGGAGAGAGCCGTCGCGCTGACGCACAGCGGCGGGGGCAGCACCGGGCATCGCTCCTCCGGCTATGGCGGAAGACGCAGGGAGCCCGGCGTGACACTGCGCAAACATCGACCGGACTGTCGACCGCACAGCAAGGGCCCCTGCGATCCGTGAGAGAGTCTGTGGAACTCTACGCGAGTCTACGGGTCCCCATACGAGTCTCTGTGTGTCCACGTGAGTCTACGGGTCTCTGCGAGAGCCAGTGGGTCTCCAAGTCCTTCGCCCGCATCTCCGATTAGAACGGCTGGCAACGTACGGTGCGAAAAAAGTGAAACGTACGTACGTACGTACATGTAAGTCGACACGAGTCCCTCCGTGAGCCCACATGGAAATGAACCAGCGTGAACTGACTCGATTGAAAATTTCAAAGAGGCATTGCAGCAATGCACCACACATCAACTGAAGCCGATTGCTGGTAACAAAAAAAATGTAAATACCCAACACAATTGCCAATAATGCTATCGCCTCGAGAGGGCAACTCTACGACGGATTACGTTTCAGGCAATGGCCCTTCTTAAATTGCAGCTACAAATATTTTTGTTACGTGAATGTTGTCGTTGATGATTGTGCTTACGCACCCCACCGCCAACGCAGGAGCAGCAGCATCTCCACCAGACAATTTGAACGCAGGCATCGGCTTTGCATCGCAACTAATTCCGCATGTTCTCAAACACACACACACACACACGTATCGCGATGCACCAGTTCACTCCGCCGTGTGTTTTTAATGAAGCGGAAACGCGCGCGGTGCAACACCGGCAGACGTGTGCTGCACTGCTGCAAATCGTCGGTACTCAGGGCGCACTTCATCACAACGGTGATCATAACACGCCGTGGAGCTGTGATAGCGTCGCGCGGGTGTCAGCGGTGCCGCGCTACGAGCCCGGCGACCCGAGTTCGACTCCCGCTCATGGCCACCAACGCCAGTTATGTATTTTATGAACCGGTCACGGGCCTCCCCCTAGGTTGACTCGGCCTCAAATGGGTACTTGGTGCGAAGTGTAAACATCGCAACTCGGGAGGCAAAGGTGACCTTCATAGGAGCTCGTTAACAGCACTTGGCCCAACATTCTGTAAACGCTGTAGGGGGATCTTTGTCTTTCTACAATGTTGGTGAAATATGCAGAGGGCGCGTTGCATGTACGTTGTGTTTTTGTCATGTATGGTGCATGTGCGGGTAACGTGTTTGTGGCGGGAGGTCTTTGTGTGTGCTCGTGCGAGTGCCCGTGTGTGCGTGGCTGTGTGCGTCCGTGTCATTCTTTACGTGCGAGCATCGCGCACGGTGCACGTACGGGCGAGACGTGTGTGTGTGTCTGCATGTATTCTTCTTGCGTGCGTGCACGTGTGCCTACTACCCAATGACAGTGTCCCAAACGGATTAGGATAAGGCCGTCGTCTGCAGTGGGGGGTTGAAACGCGATGGAAAGGGGGAGGGACGGAGCAAGTAAGACAGATGTCTGTCACATGACCTGCGCTGACAGCCTTTGATGGATTGCTCGGGGTAAACGCGCATCTGTGCCGCCACGGACACAGCGACGGACGGGGGGACGCGACGCGGCGAAGAAGGAAAAAAAAAGCCGCAATCTACCACGCGCGGCACAATCATCGCGACGCCTGCCCCCCTCCCCCCCCAGCCCCCCACGCACAACTTTAAACACCGCGGCCAGCTGGGTACACCGCTCAATGAGAAACACGTGCACCTTTGACCTTCAGCAGCGCCCATCCCACACGGCTCGGGTGAGCCTCCCATCAGCACATCACATTCAATTTCATTAAATTACCTTTCCCCCGCGAAGTTACGATGGTATACCGGGCGACGCGCCGTCATCGCGCAGGAGGCCCCCACCCCCCCCCCCCACCCCCCGCCTCTTTTCTCGAAATTTTCGGCGCGGAAACGTGACGAGCCGCGCACGCTCGCTCGCGACGCAAATCCATCCCCCTTTGTCTCGCTTTTAATAACGGCCCCAAAAATGGCCGGGGATTTATTTCGGCGAGCGAAGAAGGAGCTTTGCGGCAGCGCGAGCACGGCGAGATTACACCGCACCGTCTGGAGGCGGTGCTGGCGCACGGCGCCGCCGCCACCGCGGCCTGATGGCTTCATCGGCGTCCTCCATTTTAGTTTGGAGCAAACGTAAAAATGTATCTTTGTAACGGCGCAAATCCGCTAAATCGTGCCGGATTAGAATAAAGTTAAATCTGGGATTAAAAAGCTCACAGCCTGCCTAGCGGGCCACCCGCTGCCATTCCCCAGACGGGAGTGGGCTCGTCGCGTAGATTAACCGCGGCGGAGCGAAAACGGGCGCTGCCCGTCCCCGGCGTCGCTGAATTTGGCCGTGCGTGCATTCACCGCGCCGGCGTCACCGCCGCCGTCGCCACTGCCGCCATCATCGGCACGCGCGACCAATGCGGGGCTCCTCGCGGTTTCGCGACAGGGCCCGTGCGCGCCTGTGCCGTGCCGTCGGAACGTCCCGGTGAAGGGCGCCGGCGAGCACGACGCTCGCTCGCACCGACGCCGGTTCGCCGAAACCTTCGCGATTGCGGTGGTTTCGTTCAGTCCTAAGCCAGAGGGGTCTCTCCCGCGTGGAGCGGAGCGCACGGGGGGGGGGGGGGGGGGGGAAAGCCGCGGCGGGGGCGAGCGCGATCTCCCCACGCGGCCGCGAGATCGCGAGTCGCCGAGAGACGGATCACCGAGTTGACTGCGGTCGAGGCGCAGCAGCAGCAGCAGCACGTCGGCAATGGACGCCTGTGGGGGGGTTTTTTCTCTCGTTGTTTCTCCGACCACCCCCCCCCCCCAACCCCGCCCCCACTATAAAAGCACTGAAATTGTAGGAAATTATACAGGTTACTTTTTAAATTAATTAATTTGCAGAAACAAATTGATTTGAAACATTTTAATTAAGTTACAGTTTAAAACAAATTATTTCTAGATTGCTTCCAAATTATGCTCCGTTTAACACTGGGCTCTTTTGTAGTTTTCGTGCAGCCAAGCAGCCAGTGCATTTCTCAAATGATTGCAGTGGATTAATTTTATTACAAAAAACTACAAATTCAATAAAATACCTCCAAACACAATGATCCAAACATCGAGCAATTGCAATTTATCACTGCAAACGATCACTTTTGCAATTCAATTAACCACGCTTAAATATTGCAAGCGCGGTTATTTTCATCTGGCCTCGAATAGGTCAACAGCACTATTCGCACCCGTTGTCTTTGCCGCTATAAATGGCGACAATCGAGCGTGCCTGTGCTGCCGCTACGACACTCCCGCAGCCTGCCAGGGCATCCTACCACAGCGGCACGCACGGACAGCGGTGCCAGCATTTCGGCTGGCGCGGCCCTGTCTCGTGCCAGGAGCCACGCCAGGGCTGGCACGGTGTGTGCCACCACATTCCCTTTGTGAAGAGGGGCGGGGCTTGCTGCCAAATCGCCGGAGCGAAAGCGCACTGCGCCAATGTCCTTTAGAAATGCCACCAACCACATTTGGAGACTGTTAATTCTACCACGACGCTCCTCGAATATGAAACAAAAGTTGCATGTCCCTCACGTTCATTCCCCCCTAGGTCAGTGTTTGTTGGACACTTTAATTCTATTCATTAATAGCCCTTGATAGGGAACATCTCGTTGGGGACGGGCTCGTCGCTTGGACAATACGCTTTAATATAATTTTCTCTTTGTGGCTTAATATATCAGCCCTATATATGGTTTTGACTTAATGCGGAATCGTATTGTGTTCAAGGTTACCGTATGGCTTCCGTGACCCAGGTCTCTCTGAAATAGACACGTGTTTCGGTCTCACCGGACTCTCGCCTAATCAAACTAGAGGCCTTGCAAGCACAGGGACAGGCTTGACCAGACTATACGGGAGCCCCAAAGCTCATGCCCCCCACCCCACTCCCCCAAAATGACAATGTTTTATTTTATTTACATAGGACAGGAGAGGGGGGCCCAGAGGCATCGATATTCATTGGGGCCTCAAATGTCTCTGGATAGGCCTACAAAGAGGTGCTGGCACATCCTTCCTGAGGTCTAAGCCATGCCT